ACTTTTTCCCATGAAAAGACTTCTCAAAAGTGTTACTTTTTTTTTTTACTTTTGTGTTTTTTTTTTTTTTTAACTGAAGAATTTGGTGTGGATTATTCTAGGGGAAAGGGGATTTCTGTAGTCACCAAACGGTGCTACTTAACTGGTGGGAATTAAAAAGTGTTAAGAGTAATCTAGTGTGATAGAGAAACAGTTTAATAGCTTTCATAATAAATTTCTGATGGCAAGATCAACATTGCTTGTTTTTGGAGCGTTAAAGCTTTTTATAGATCAGCTGGGCAGCGAAAGGAGCAGCTCCCCACAGTACTGCTAATCCAGCTCTCAGAGGTAGAAATGTTTAGAGAAGTGACAAGAGTACTGAGCTATGTGCTTCTTGAACCCGGTCAAACTTGCTTCTACAGCAAAGCCATGACAAAAGTTTCAGTCTGGATTTTCCTCAGTCTCGATGGTGCTGGAGACTGATTCTTCGTTCTCAAACTCAGGCAGCAGCCTACTGCAGTGCTCTGAATTTCTGGGCCAAGCGCCCAGCCAGTGCAAGCCTCTGACCTGCTGATTGCCAGCACTTTATATCAGCATAATCTGGCGTCTGGATTGCCATCTTTAGCTGGAGTGTTTTAGCACTATTTACCACCACTTCATCAGCTGAAATTTAGATATCTTTGACCTTCATTTCCTAGCGCTTTGGAAATTGAATTAGAATTAACTGTGTAGTGAATTCTGCCCTTCAGATATCAGTTGGGTTTGGGTTTTTTTTTTTTTTTTGGTGCATCTGTGAAAAACGTTTGTCGTTTTACCTTAAGCTTCTCCTGCTGATGGGAAAGCACTGGGGAGGAAATGGAAAGAAGGAACAGTGTGTGCTGTAAAGGAAGAAGCTACATGGAGAGCTTTGGTGCTAAAGGATCGGCTCCGATTGCAGTCTTATTGTTTGCAGACTAACATGGATAATGCATTGGTGGGCAAAACGCTAAGTGCTTACAAGTAATTTGTGGCATTTCAGTTTTTTTATCATTACTTATACACTGCTCTGGTGGGATAATGTAGCAAAAGACAAGCTCCCAGACTGAAGAGTTTATAGTCTTAATTGCACAATTCTGCAGGCAGCTCAGTGAAGCTAATAGGCGTGTGTAAGGCAGAAGCAAGGCCTTGCTTAGACAGGCTGATCGCTCAGAATGAGAGCACAGCTCATCTCTAAGGGGAGAGATGGAAGGGCTTAGGAAAAGTATGCACTTTAGTCCTTATTTTAGTCGTAAGTAACAGCGGTACATTGTTTGATAGGGGCATGCAGTAGTCTTTGAAAAAGCCCCCTAAGACGAAATACAGAGAAGCAGCGTCTTTAAAAGGCAGGCACTTTTTTGTATTGAATAAAATGTGTAAATCTCTCGAGCCAATTATTTTAAGAAGATTGATAAGAGGAGGAGCAGGAGCAGGTGCACATTAGCGAAGAATAGTTAAAAATAGCTTATATGTTAAAGAGAGACTTAGTCCTTTATTGCGTGTGTGTTTATATATGCTTGCTAGGTTTTCTTCTCTCAGCGTTCCTTGGTAGATCTCAAAGTGCTTTACCAAATGAAGGAAGTACAATCTCTAACATATGCACAGGCTAAGTAGGATATAGTGAGGGGCCTGACCTACCCACAGGTGAATGGCAGAGCCAGGAATAAAATCCAGGTATCCTCATCCATTTTACTGGCTAGGTTGCAGAGTGCTTCATATAGCATCCAGCCTAAAGCTATCTAGACCCATCTTAACCTGCATCAACAGAAACACTATGCGTTGTACTTAAAGGAAGGTAAATGTATGCTAAATATACTTACCAGCCTGTATTTCTAAACAAGACTTCAGCAAGTTTTATTCATTGTGATAAGCACACGTGACCTGATGAAGGTTTTCATTTCCAAGTTTGCAGGGTCTCCTGTGACAGCTTCCCGGCTGGTCTGTTTTGTGCCACGCCGCTGGGGAGCAATGCTGCTCCGAGCGGCCGAGGAGCCGCCTCGGGGTCGCAGCGCCAGGGCCCCAGCAGCCAGAGGTCGCTTCCTCAAAGCACGAAGCTTTCTAAAGACCATGCCAATTCCAATGAATTCCTCACTGGGACAGGGTCTTCAGGGATTTCAGGATGAAGCAAGAAGGACAGGAAAAAACAAAGAGCAAACCCTTCTAGCATGCTCTGCTGTGTCGTTATTAGAAGATGCCCATAGGAAGTAGAAAGCCCCTTTCGTGTCCGTGGTGGCAGACTTTGACCAGGCACTTAGAGGTTAACTTCTTGCATTTCAGATAACTGCCCTAAATCTGGAGCTGTTAGCTCCTCCGTGTGGGCGGGTGTCTCTCCTGTTTTCTGCGGGAAGAATCCTTGAAACATCTCATTTTCTTCCTAGTCAGGAAGGGCTGGAAATGCCAATTACAACCTCTCCCCAACAAATTGCTAGGGCAGCAAAACTGCCTCCTACTTCTGGCATGTTGTATTTTGATTATCTGGTATTTTTGCTATTCTGCTGCCGGCTAATATCCCATTTATTGCGGTAGATCTTTAGCAGAGAGGCAAATGAGGTTTCAGTATACAAGTTTCAGAGTGTATATTCGGTGCTGCTTGAAGTGGGCAGTGTGAAAGTACTAAGCCACATCCTCCCTCCCCCTGCTTCAAAATGTCATCTGGGATATACGTTGCAGATGTATCCATCCTTCTATTAACGTCCTTGTTGGATGCATCTGTCTTCTGTGCTTAACTCTCCTAAGAGGAGCGTATCTATGTCCCCTGGTCCTGACTATGCGGTATTATTTAGCATCGGTGACCCATCAGAAGGCTGTTAGGATGCTGAGTGCTGAACACTCGGCTGTCAAGAACATCGATCTTTCTGCTGAGCCAGAGCAAATTTAATTAGCTTATTTTAACGTTCCTCTTCATCCTGCGGGTGGGTAGAATCGGTGCTGGCTGGAGCTTCTTTCCGACGTAGCTCGTTCGGCGTAACTAATTATCGCATGCAAGCGAATGGTACGCTCCGCCGGCAGTTTTTGCGGTAAGGGGGGGGCGGTTGCTTTTCGTTTATTTGCTGTCAGTATTGTATGAAACCTTCCCCTTCAAGGTAGCAAAGTCTTTTCAGTTCTCGTGAAACAAAAGTTAAGCATTGGCAAACTGGTGAAAAGCTGTAGTTAGCAGAGCCCCGTGCCAGTAACATGGTGTGGACGAGGAGAGTAACTCTACGTCAAAAGTATGAGAGAGCCCAGCCTTGCAAATAGGAAATGCCTGAACTGCTGTCCGGATAAAGTGAGTCCACTTTGTGTTTATGCATTATGATTGTCTCTACTTGCCTATCTGCACGCTATATTTTACCATAATCTGCACCGTTCCCTTGATACCGTCTTTCTTTTTAACTTGAAGTCAGGTATTCCTCACTAATCTAATTCCTGGAAATGTCTGGCCCATTTTTGCTGAAGCTTTAAAAAAAAAAAAAAAAAAAAAAAAAAGGAAAGAAGGAGGGAAAGAAAGCCCCCAAAACACACCATTACCTTGCGTCAGCTATCTTGCATGGGAAATTAATTTCTGAACAATTAACTGAGAGGTGATGAACTGGATAGCCTTAAGCGTAGGTGGTACCACCAGCTTTCCCATAATACTTAAGGGAGACTCGAAGGCACATGCGTCAAGGAGACCCCTTTCTCTCCGATTGCGACCGCATTGGTGCCTGTCTGCTGCTGGCGTCTGTAATGTTTTCCCTAGTCTACTCTGATCAAAGACTTAAAATCAGTAGAGAGGGTTTGAAGCAGGACATGCAGGAGAGGCTGTTTAAACAGGCTAATTACTTTTGGAGTCCGAGCATTTCTCACTGCATAAAGAGAATCGCAAAAGGGTGCTGCAAGTTAGGCAAGCAAAACAGTTTTAAGAAGAAATTGGAGTAGGTCCCTACATCAGTATCCTCAACTGGTTTGAAATGGCCTTCCTGGGAGTCAGCAGAGGGGTTTAGCCCCTGTGGACTTCACTGTCAGAAGGTGCAAACTGCAGGAAAGAGTGGAGGGGTGATGGGGAAGAGAAGGCAGTAGTGAGACAGCGTGAAGGATATGCAGAAGAGTCATAGAGAAAGGGAAAGTGTTTGAAGGTTTGGTGGAGATGGTAGGGAGCAGCAAGGGATCTGCGGAGTCAGAGATGGATAGACAAGGTGAAGCAATGCTCTTGTCTTTGGGTCTGACACTGCACTGGAACCAGAGTTGGGCAGCAAAGGCCTTTGCTTGGCTAGAGCCTGCCTGCAAGGCCCGTCTTGGTGTCGGGTACTGTAGGCTTGGCCCCACGCCTTGCAGAAGTGGTGACTGACTCGTTTGCAGATAGTCGTGGATTAGAGCGCAGCAGTGGTCGCCTCTCTCTCAGCAGGGACGTCCTTCCCGTGAAAAGTCCTGAATTCCAGTATTTTGATCCAGCTCTTCCTTTCTCTGTGGGGTTGCGACTATGACCCAAAGCCCCCCAGATTATCCTCCCAGAAGGACTGCTAAGCTGCACAGACATGGAGTACAATAGTCTTAGGCACAAGCTGAAAGACACTTGGTGTAGTGCAGGCAGATAAGAAGGTAGCAGGGAACATTACTCTCAGGCTGCTAAGGGACAGAGTCTAGTGTCTTGCTCTTCTTCCATTACTTTTCTGGGGTACTTTGCAGCCACTTTTGTCAGCTGTGTTTAACGTCCTCCTATAGCAGGGACAATGCATATACCAGCGCCGCCAGTCCTCACGGTGGAGGGACGGTTGGCTGGGAGCGCGCTGCGCTCCGTTTACCTTCCCTGATGGATGTTTTTTTGGGGGAGGTCTAGGGATTAAGCGGCAAACTGGTGATCCCAAAACAAACTGCATATGACAGAGGCTCTGGGTTGATGTCTCAAGTGAGCCATGAGAAAAACGCTTGGACGTAGGTGGTGTTACACGTATGCGGCATCTTATAGCCCTTACAGTGTTGAGTTTATGCTGAATGCACTGACTAGAGACTAAATAGAGTGTGTATCTCTCTCTATTTTTTCTTTATAGGAACCTAGAGTTTTCCTTGTTTAACAACCAGACGCAGCATCCTATCATCTGCTTAATCAGGTATGACCTTTTTACTTGCTAGCATAGTTTCACAAGGAGGCTGCTTCAACAGACCAGGGAAACTTTGAGAAAAGAGCAAGAAGAAAACTCCTCCTAACTTCTGGGATGCTTTATTTTCCTGGGGTTAGTTCCTGCTTTGGTAATCCTCCATTTTATTTTATTTTAAAAGCCTTTTGTATCTGACAGAAGCTGTCATACCATTGCCTAAGCAGCTGTCTTCCTCCTTTCAGCTTAGCAAAACCCTGCGTGCAGCTCTGTGCGGCAAGGGCATAAGATGGTGTCGAACAAAGGGGGAATTTGAGAGGGGTGTTACTGTTACCCTGCACAGCTCGGGTTTGTCGTGCCCTGCCGCTGCAGTAAGTCATGCCGTAGAAAGGATAAGAATGGTTTCGTCCAGTAAGGGCAAATGTAATACTGCCTGATTTCCAGAATTTGAAGTGATTGGGTTAGATCAAGGAAATACTCTTCTCTCCTCTCTGGGAAAGGGGAAACTTTCAAGAGACCTCCATCTCAGAAGGCTGAAAATGAGTGTCATAGAGAAGCTGTGCTGCCTATACCATATGGGTGAGCAGAGGTATTTGTTTTTCCAGCATTTCCCTACGCATATTTATTCATTTCAGTTTAATTTGAAAGTGAACATAGTTCCTGTGTGCGCTAGCAAACGAGTTTGAAAATAGTGAGTTTGAAATACAAAGGACAGAATATTTGAGTTTGGGATACGGGAATGGATTTCGTTTGAGAGACGTCTTGTGAAGCCTAAGGAAGAAATGCAGTAGGGCAGAGTAGTAAGAGTAGGAAGAAGTCCAAGCTTCTGCCATCAGAACTACACTTGGGCAGGGCAGGATGAAATACTGCCATATACTTGGGCAAGGCAGGGCGTGACACTGCCGTTCTCTTTGGGTGAGATTTTGTGCTCGCTCTGGCCTCAAAGCTCAAAATGAAAACCAGAGGGCTTCAGTGAGTTTGGGAGATGCCCATAGAAGCTCATAGAGGTGTATTGAAGTGAAGGGTGGGAGGTGTACTGGGATGACTGTGGCCTTCCCAGTATCTCCTGTTGGCTCAGGAAGCTAGAGAAGGTTCAGACTCTGCGCTCTTCGAGGAGTGACCTAAAAGCAAAGAAACGTCATCTTCAGTTGGTGGAAATTACGCCCTCTGTGTTGTCATTAATTAAAAGGTGCTGGATGATACCAATTAAGGACATGTTTCTTCCCTGAGATTATACTTAAGAAGAAAACAAGTTAGAGCAGTTAATAAAGAGTGATTAATTGGGGATATTTATCTGTCAGTGGGCAGTCACTCTCGAGCTTATTGTACTGAAATTTAACAAGCTGTTGAGACTGTCATTTTTTAACATATGAAAAATATAGCATGAATTTGGTTTACAAATAATGGAATATAGAACTATGGAGTATTTTTAAATTTTCCTTTTTTTTTTTTTTTTTTTTTGCTCTTTTGTCACTGAAGAGAAGCTCCCCTATTAAGTGAAGCTCCCTTAAGTAATCTGTGCCAGGCTTTTGAGGCTGCCAAGATACTTAAAGATTAAAAAAAGGAAACATCAAGCACAGCTTTAAAGGAGAGCAAGCTGGTACTACAGAGCGAAAAAACTTTGATAATGTAAGATCTGGGATCTGTGTGCCTTTTTTGTTTGCACGCGTACCCCCCCCCAAACTTGTAAATATATGTTTTGGGTACAAGACTGGTTGGTCTGGGTTTTCTTGAACTGTTTATAAGGGCATAAGTGAATCCATTTCCTGGAAAAAGCCCTCTACTTCTGCATGCAATTTCTCCTGGCACTTTGAGTTAGGAAGAATTTGAAATCGAGGGTCAACTTTGGCCCTATCTGTTTTTAGGCTGTATAAAGCACATACACAAGCAGTTCTTTTCTCATTTGTGGGCTTTTCTCCCTGGAAAGCCCTGGCACCGCAGGCCTGCCCTGCACTGTGGAAGTCAGCTAAGGGCAGCGTATCCCAACCTGGCCTGCCTCCGAGAGTCATACTGCTAGCGAGGGGACGCAGGCTGGATGCGCTTGTGCTGATTCGACACGTTCCCACCCTAAGGTGGGCAGGAGGCTCGGCTGATGGAAGCAACTGCTGTGTCCCGTGTTTAGGGAGTCTCTTGTTGTTACGCTCCGTTTCTGCGCTACTCTTTTCCGTGTCGCTCTTGGGAAGCATGGCACAAGCGGCCCAGCAGTTTGGGAAGGGACTTTCACCTTCTGGACTCTGACCTGCAGCAGGGCAGGAGCTACCAGCAGCCCCTGCGCCGACTTACGTCAACCTCTCCCAGGGCAGCCAGTATGTACGGCAACCCGGAGGCCTTACGCGCCTGGCTTGGTGCCAGCGGCTGCCAGGGTGGAGGGCAGCCTAAGGCTGCTTACGGCGATCCTACCCACTTCAGGAATTTTCCCATGGCCCTTAGAATACCCTTACAGCAGTGTGCAAGTACAAAATGAAGGATAAAATTAGTCTTTTAAGACTTAAGGAACAGACAGTTTTATTGCATTCACCATTTCTCCATTGCCGGTATTGCACTGGCAATAAAATACATTCTCCAGCATCTGCTGTGCAAATCTTAAGTTGTCTCTGCAGGTCCTGTCCCTAATTGGCAGGCCTAAATTATTGGTATATCCGTGGAGCACTCCATAAACACTTGGTGCTGCTGGGATGCCATGGACAGTTTAAGAAGTAGGCAAATCTGTTTCAAATGAAAAGAGAGGGAAAGAATCGTACATCAGAACTAGCATTTTCTACGTAAGATCACTGCATCAGTGATTGGGGGAAAAAAGAGGGTGGTAATATCTTATGAGCATTAGCTGTCAATCGGTCTTTTCCCTCCATAGTGACTAATAGAAAACTGACAGTGGAAAGGATGTGCAGCAGGTTGGAGATGGGAAGGTTTTGATAGAGAAGGCAGGGGCTCAGAAAAAGGAGAAAGTCTTGTTACATCTTGTCGAAGAGCATCCTGCAGGCTAGGCTGTTGGATGGGAGAAGGAGCAGCAAAACCAACAGCGTGGCCCAGCGGCTACAGGACAGCGATGGCAAAGCCCACAGCTCTCTAAGCTGGGTTGTCTGCACAGCCTGGCCTTGCAGCTTTCGGAGCTAAGGGCTCAGCTCTGAAAGCCGTTCAGCGAGTTCTGACAGTGCAGTTCTGCTTCAGACAGTTTGGGGGCTGCTGCAGTCTCTGTTGAGTCTGGTCACGGGCTCCTGGGGCTGCTCATGCGGTGTCAGCAAACAGCCTCTCTTTTCTGGTGCAAGCTTGTCGAAGTGCAGTCTCTGTACGCAAGCTAATTCTGCCAAGACTGAAGGTGCTCCTTGGCGGGAGGGTACCAAGACGGCTTGCTCGCCTGGCGCTCTCTAGGCTTGGTGCGCAGCTGCTTCAAAATGCGAGGGTGAATTCTAACACCCTTCAAATTCTGTCAGGTTGAGCTTCCTAATAATTTGAGGTAGTGTTTTGGGTACAAGCATTACTTATGCTTGCACTTCCTTTTCTACTGTGAATCCAGTGCTGCTCAGAGGACAGGCCCGCTGATGGGATGGTGCTTGGTAATGGCTGTTCTACACAGAGGCTTGGAAACAGCATGAGGCCAAGGTGAACCTGCTGCATACTCAGAATTTTTATGTATCAATATTTTGTTTGCTTAGATGAGAAGCTCTTCGGATGCAAGCACCTCTTACGTGTATTCTATAGAGAGTTGAGCGTGCCTAAAATGAGCAATACTCAATAACTTGTATTTCAGGCTTAGAAATTCCCCTTATCTTGATATGGTTGGAAGTTAACATTGTACAGGAAGATATTGGTGAGCAATGATTAGAACAGTTTTCATGTAAAGCGATGCTGAGTGATACAAGCCAGAAGGATTTCCTGTCGTACCTACAGATGAAATGTCGTCTTGAGTTCTAGGGTCATCCAGTGGAGAGATGCTGTTCTCCTCCTTTTCCTTTTTGCTTACCTTGTTGTTTTTAATCAGTGATTTTTGTAGTGGTGCCTCTTTTGATGGACACCTTTTGCATTGTAACTGGAGGAAAAAAACACTAGG